TGCAAAAGAATGAATTTGGGGCCGAGTGCAGTGGCTCATGCCTGTAATCCCAGTACTTTGGGAGACGGATCACGAGGTCAGGAGATCGAAACCATCCTGGCTAACACAGTGAAACCCCATCTCTACTAAAAATACAAAAACTTAGCTGGGTATGGTGGCACACGCCTGTAATACCAGCTACTCGGGAGGCTGAGGCAGGAGAATGGCGTGAACCCGGGAGGTGGAGCATGCAGTGATTCAAGATTGTGCCACTGCACTCCAGCCTGGGCGACAAAGTGAGACTCTGTCTCAAAAAAAAAAAAAAAAAAAATTGTACCCCTACCTCACACTATATATGAAAATGAATGCAAATAGATCAAATATCTAAATGCAATAACCCAAATTGTAAAACTCTTAGAAGAAACATATTGGTATATATTCATGACCTTGGATTTGGAAGTAGTTTCATAGATAGTACAAGCAACAAAAGCAAAACAAGTTGGACTACATCAAAATTAAAAACATCTATGTTTCAAGGCTGGGCATGGTACCTCATGCCTGTAATCCCAGGACTTTGGGAGGCTAAGGTGAGAGGTCCACTTGAGGAGAGGTTTAAGACTAGCCTGGGCAACATAGTGAGACCTCGTCTCTACAAAAAAAAAATAATAATAATAATAATAGATGAGTTGGTGCATGCCTGTAATCCCAGCTACTCGAGAGGCTAAGGTGAGAAGATTGCTTGAGCCTGGGAGACCAAGGCTTCAGTGAGCTGTGATTGCACCACCACACATCAGCCCAGGTGACAGAGCAAGACACTGTCTCAAAAACAAACAAAAAAATCTAGGCTTCAAAAGACACCATCAAGAAAGTGAAAGAGTAAATTCATGAAATGAGAGAAGAGATTTGCAAATCGTTTATCTGTAAAGGACATGAATCCAGAATTACAACTTAACCATAACAACACAACCCAATTAAAAATAGGCAAAAGGCTTGAATAGACATTTATCCAAAGAAAATATGTGAATGAAAAACAAGTATATGAAAAGATGCTCAATCATTAGCCATTAGGGAAATGTGTATCAAAACCACAATGATCTCCCCCCCGGAAGGGTCAGACGGGAAGGAATGCTGGGGTGGGGTTTTGTCATCCTGGTGATGGATAACCTCATCTCTGTAGGTGACAGAGCTTTCCCAATGTTCTCACTCTCCAATGACAGCTGGAAATGTGGTGTTTTGTTTTGTGGAAATGAAGGCAGATGAGTCATGAGAAGAATGGGCTAATAACTGCAACACTATATCCTGAGCAGCCAAATGTGCAATCATCTTTTTAAGAGACTCCTGTAACCGAGCTATAAAATCAATGTATGGTTCTCTTGGTCCCTGTTTTATAGCAGTAAAGGAAAGGTATTGTTCCCCACCTGAAGTGATTTTTTCCCAAGCTCTAATGCATACTCCTCTAAGCTGTTCTATGGCATCATCGTGCATGACCAGTTGTGCATCTAAACCAACCCAGCCGCCAACCCCTAAAAGGTGGTCTGCAGTTATATTAATTTGAGGTTGGGCCTGGACATTGCGAGCAGCCTGAATGGAAGCTTCATCTGCCCACCAAGTTTTAAACTGTAAGAACTGAGCAGGAGTTAGACAAGCTCGAGTAAGAGCGTCCCAGTTAGTAGGAATCATCCGACTGGAAACAGCAACATTCTTTAACAGTCCCGTTACAAAAGTAGAACCTGCTCCATCTTGATTTATAGCTTGTTTAAATTCTTTGAGTAATTTAAAAGGAAAAGGTTCAAATGTAACTGCAATATTTCCCTGTTGATCTGGGGGGTGTATTCTAACATGGAACTGCCAAGCCTCTAAATCACCCTCTCGTCTAGCTTGCTGAATTCCTGTCTGAATAGAACTAAGGGCGGTCTCTCAAGTTGCTGCTCGAACAGTCACTGGGGCAACTACTTTTCACCCAATGTCCTCTGGAGAAGAAAGATCTGGAGGGTCTTTTTCTTCAAAATAATAAGGAGGGGGTGCAGAAGGGTAGGGATGAACCTCTCCTTCCTTTGCCGCTTTAGCTTTAGCTGGCAAATAAACATGCTCTGTAACCTCTTCTGTTACTTCGTTACAGTCTTGTTCTTCCTCATCATCAGTGTGAAAAAGTTCCAAGGTGGAACAAACCAGACCCCACACCTGTCCCATTGTTACCCTGACACTTCTGAGTTCCCCTTCTTACTCACCATGGGGATTGCTTTAAGAGTACTCGGGTATCCTCCAGCTAGTTTTCCATTCCAACCATCACTCTGGCGACCCTTCGACCTGGATTCGAGCCCCCACGAATGGATGCCAGTTGCTGAAACCAGCTCGGTCGGGGAGACCCTGACCCAGAGGAGCTAGAGGAATTAAAGACACATACACAGAAATATAGAGGTGTGAAGTGGGAAATCAGGGGTCTCACAGCCTTCAGAGCTGAGAGCCCCAAACAGAGATTTACCCACATATTTATTAACAGCAAACCAGTCATTAGTATTGTTTCTATAGATATTATATTAACTAAAAGTATCCCTTATGGGAAACGAAGGGATGGGCCGACTTAAAGGAATAGGTTGGGCTAGTTACTGCAGCAGGAGCATGTTCTTAAGGCACAGATCGCTCATGCTATTGTTTGTGGCTTAAGAATGCCTTTAAGTGGTTTTCTGCCCTGGGAGGGGCCAGGTGTTCCTTGCCCTCATTCCCGTAAACTCACAACCTTCTAGCATGGGCGTTAGGGCCATTATGAACATGTTATAGTGCTGCAGAGATTTTGTTTATGGCCAGTTTTGGGGCCAGTTTATGGCCAGAATTTTCGGGGCTTGCTCCCAACAGAAACAGAAATTAGAATGGTGGTTTCCAAGGACTGGGGGAGGTGAGATGTTACTCAATGAGTATAAAGCTTCTATTATGTAAGATAATTAAGTTTTATATATATAGCAACTTGAATATATCTCCAGAGAATTGTGCTGAATGAAAAAAGCCAATCCCACCATTCAGATACTGTATGATTCCATTTGTATAACATTCTTGAAATGACACAATTGTATATATGGAGGACAGACTAATGATCGAGTCTGGAGGAAAGTGAGTGTGGCTATAAAAGGGCAAGATGATGGATCCTTGTGGAAATATTGGAAGAGATCCTTGTGATGGAAATATTCTGTCTCTTGAATGGACTGACATCAGTATCCTACTTGTGATATTGCAAGATGTTGCCCTTGGGTGAAATTACCTAAGAGACATAGGTCTCTCTCTATGATTTCTGTATTATGTTTTACAACTTGACGTGAACAAATCCACATTTATCTCTGAATAAAAGATTTCACTTAAATACATCATTAGTCACCATCTAAGGTTAGCTGCTGTTGACAGTTTTGTGGCCACTCAGACGTTCAGCAAATGTTTTTAAACTTGGCTTTGTGGTTTACTATAGAAAAGGGCCTCAGCCAGGCACCTGGTTCCTACCTTTCCTCTTGTGTAAGCTCCCCTGTCTGTATTACCCAACTCATCTGGAAAGTAGCTTGGCTGTGAAGATTGTTTATAAATCATAAGGCATGGAGACCAGGGGCCAGAACAAAGGAAACTCGTAACAACAAGGATTGATGCTTTCTTCTTATATCTAAAGATAAAGGCAATTGACATTACGTTTAAAGAGCTAGTTGTTTTTTATTTGCAATTCTAGAATCCAGCCACACCTCCTTCTATAAAATAGAACTAATGTTCTGGTGATCCAAGCAGAGGAATATGGCTTCATACAAAGAAACGGGCTGAGGAAAGCAGAAACAGAACAAAAGTGGATGGTCATTTTAAAGTTACTTTACCTGTCAAGGTTAAAGCAAAGGGGATTTCTTTTATCATGAGTCCTAAAACTGGCCTGTTTGGGACTTGGCTATTCTCTCTCTCTCTCTCTCTCTCTCTCCCCTGAGAGGAGGTCAGATAACAACTGGGAGTTGGTGGCCTGGAACTTCAGCATGAGTAGCTCCATTTCGGTTTGATCTGTTGGGCCTAGTGCAGGAACTCAGTCCAACCCAATAGTCTCCTATACATTTTATTCTACACCTATGCTCATTTTCTTCTTTGCACATCTGTATGCTTTGCAAATGTTCTACAAATAAGCATGATTATCAGGTTTAAAGTTGCCTGGGATGGTCCCTCAGTCCAGTCCATTGGGTGGACTGCAGAAATGTCTGCAGCAGATGTGACACGCCTCTTTTATTCCCCTCATTTATCTGCCTCCACTCATCCCTTGTCCTTTTCTATTTTCCCTCCTCCCTCTCCTTACCCATTCTTTCCTCTCTTCCTCTTCAGCCTGTCCTGCCCTCCCTAACTCGACTTTCTCTTTCCTCCTTTTCCTACCCTTTTCTTCTTCCTTATAGTTCTTTCCACCTTCTCATCCCCCTTTCCACCTTTTCTTCTTTCCTCCTCCTTGCCTTCTCCATTCTCTTCCTTTCCTGCCTCCCTGCCCCTCCCTCCTCCCACCTCCCTCCCTCTTCTTTCTGTTGGTTCTTCTCTCTGACCTGTTCTTTTCCCTTAGTCTCTCCCCAGCCCTTCCTCCTTCCCCTCCACCCTTCTTCCAACCCCTCCTTCTTCTCCATCTCTTCTTCCTCCTCCCTCCTCCCCAGCTCTCCTCTGCCCCAGCTCTCCTCTGCAAGTCCCTCCCCTCCTATCTCTTCTCCCCGCTCCTCCTCATCCCTCCTCCCCTTCCATCCTTCTTCCCACCCCTCCTACTTCTTTTCTCCCTCCTCCCCCCTCCCCCCCTCCTCGCCCCTCCTTTCCCTCCCTCCTTCTTCCCACCCTTCCTCCCTCCGTCTGTTCTCTCTCCTCCCCTTTCCCTGCTTCCTCCCCCTCAATTCTCCCTCTTGCCCCCGCCTCCTTGGCCGCGGTGGCCTCTGGGAGCTAGAGGAGCTCAGTTGGCTCTGCTCGGCTTCGCTCTGCTGGGGGCAGGGCTCGGCTGAAAAAGCCCGAGGGGAGGTGGCGCGCGCGGGCTTCTGGGAAGCGTAGTCCGGCGCAGTCCGCGCAGGCGCATTGCGGCCGGGCGGGCCTAGCGGGCGCGGTCATTGTCCTGGCAGAGCGGCGAGCGGGTGAGTGTGGATGCGGGGTTCCGCCCACCCTCTACCTGTGCGGGGGATCATACCCTGGCCCCGGATAGGGCGCAGCCTCGGGGAGAGGGCGTGCAGGCCCAGGTACGGGGAGTGCAGGGCTGGGGGCAGGTCCAGGGCATGCGGGCGCAGGGGAGGGCGTGCAGGCCGGGACCGAGGGGCGCCTGGAGCGGCTGAGCGGCCGAGGAGAGGCTGAGGGGAGGCTGAGGAGAGGCTGAGGGGAGGCTGAGCGGAGGCTGAGGGACTGAGGAGAGGCTGAGCGGAGGCTGAGGGGCTGAGGGGAGGCTGAGGGGCTGAGAGGCTGAGGAGAGGCTGAGCGGAGGCTGAGGGGCTGAGCGGAGGCTGAGGAGAGGCTGAGGGGCTGAGGAGAGGCTGAGAAGAAACTGAGGAGAGGCTGAGGGGAGGCTGAGGGTCTGAGGGGAGGCTGAGGAGAGGCTGAGTGGAGTCTGAGGAGAGGCTGAGGGTCTGAGGAGAGGCTGAGGAGAGGCTGAGTGGAGGCTGAGGGGAGGCTGAGGGGCTGAGGAGAGGCTGAGTGGAGTCTGAGGGGAGGCTGAGGGTCTGAGGAGAGGCTGAGTGGAGTCTGAGGGGAGGCTGAGGGGCTGAGGGGAGGCTGAGGAGAGGCTGAGTGGAGTCTGAGGGGAGGCTGAGGGGCTGAGGAGGCTGAGGGGAGGGGCTGAGGGAGGCTGAGGGGCTGAGTGGAGGCTGAGGGGAGGCTGAGGGGCTGAGGAGAGGCTGAGGAGGGGCTGAGGAGAGGCCTGGGCCAGGAAGGGAGAGGCGTGACTGGGTTAGAGGTAGGAAAGTTGCATGGACACCAGGGCCATCCTGGGGGGAAGGTGGCCTGTGTGAGAGACAGGCGGTGCATATCATCCTGAGGATGAGGCTGAGCCTTTGTGGATATTGTGAATGTGTCTGTGTGGGTCTGTATGTGTGTGTGAGACAGATTGTGTCGTCCTGAGGGTATGGCTGTGTCTCTGGAGATTGTGAGAGAGAGTGTGTGTGTGTGTGTGTGAGAGAGAGAGAGAGAGAAACTGTGTGTCGTCCAGAGGCTGGGTCTGTGAATGAATGTGAATGTGTCCATGTGTGTCCATGTGGGTTATGTGTGGTAATGTGTGTGTGTGTTTGTCCAACTTCTACAGAGTCTTGGTCTCTCTGTGGAGCTGTCTCTCTCCGGGCCTCTGCCTATACATGTGTGGTGATATCTCTGAGTGACTGCCTGTGTCCTTGTCTTTGGTGTTGTGGGTGTGTCAGCCTTGATCTCTATCCTTGGGTGTCTCTGTGTGAGGGTGCCCTCTGGGTGTCCACTATGTCTGGTCTTTCCATGCATGTCTCTTGGCATGAGTGTAGGGGTGTGTCTCTCCAGGGTCCAGTCCTGTCTGGATCTTTCCCTATCTCTGTGTGTCCACGTGTGTCTGAGTGTTTCTTGATGTTTGTGTGTGACTCTGCAGAGGTGGATGCATCTGGGTGTGCCTCTTCCAAAGACTGTATGCCTGGACAAGGGGGCCTAGCAGAGCCACTACCTTCTCACCCCACACTTCTCCTAGTCTGCCCAGCCATAGTTCCCTGGCTTTTTCTTGCCCATAGAAAGCTTTGGAGGCATAGGGGCCTGGGAGTGACAGGGGCAGGGTGGAGGAGGGGAAAAGAAAGGCTGTTTCTTCTGCCTCCCACAGGATCTTCTTAAAAGGGGATCAGACTCCTAAAGGGTCTCTGTGCCCTACTCCGTTCTGACCAAGGAGAGGTTGATTTGTTCACAGAATGTGTTTGCAGCCAGTGCTGGCCATTTATAGGTGTCCCAGTAACTCTGAGGTAGGGACCATCATCATCCTTATCTTACAGACAGGGAAACTGAGTCTCAGACTAAGTGACTCACCCAAGGTTACCTCAGGCATCCAGGTTCCACAGCCCCCACAATTAGCCACTAGACAAATGGGAGATCCCTTTTTTCCCTTTCCGCTCAGCTGACACAAGGTTGCAGGGTTTTCCCCAAGGGAATCTCCGCTTGGAAACAGTAGAAATGGATGAAAGGAAGGAAATGCTAAAAAGCTCAGAGGAAGAAGAATCCAGATCTAAGGCCAAACCAGTTTCAACAGTCACTGGCAAGTACTCTTGGACAAGTCACTTCCAGGGCTGCTGTATGATTTTTAAGGGTACTTTGCCTTTATGGACCTCTTGCTCCACTGGCTTTTTAAAGCACTAAAAGTTACATTTTGTAATTTCATTAATAGGAAGACAAATGTATTCTAGGCTGGATTAGGTCTTTTCTTATGATTTTAAAAGAAATTAAGACCTTCCTATGGGCCCGTAAAGGTTTCATGGGCCCCAGGCTCTGTGCCTACTGGGTAAGTGGGCTCTGGTCACTGCTGTGGTCTGGCAAAATGGGCCAGTGTTCTTGACCTCATAGGACACGGGTGAAAGTCAGAGACCACTGATCTGCAAGGAATATATTTTTTTAAATTAAATTCTGTTTCAAAAATGTGTATGGTGATATGAGGTTTCTACACCCAGGGAGACAGTTCAAAGGAAGAGAAAGAAAAAATAATTAATAACCCCTACCCCTTTCTCATTCCCATTCCACGCCCTCCAGATACCAAGCCAGCCTCATTCCACAACCTTTCCCAGGATGGAAAACGCTGTACAGATGTGTCCACATCCACATGGGTTGGTTTTTTTTTTTCACAAAGGGGCTTAAGTTATGCATAAAACTGGGTAACTTGCTTTTCTCACTTAGTGAAACCACAGACATGTCAACAGATGCAGAACTAACTCTGCGAGATGCAGAACTAACTCTGCTTCGCAGAGGCGACCTGATACTTCGTACTATGGAGACGCTACCATTGATTTGATTCCTTTAGTAATTTTATTAATTTTGTTTTCAGGGTGTGTGTGTTTTTTTTTTTCCTCTAGAAACAACGCTGCCATAAATATCTTTTTTTCCTATATGTAACTTTTACATGGAGCTTTATTAGTGTGGGCAGATTCCCAGGAACAGGGTTGCTGGGTTATGGGATTTGTGTATTGCCAGCTCACTTTCCAGAAAAATGTTGAGCGATTCACATTCCCTCACCAGTGTGTGAGAGGGCCTGTTCCTTTGAATCCTGGCCAGCACTAGAAGTTAGCTCATCTGTTCGTTCAGCTTGATGTCTAAGTGCCTCCTATGTGTTAGACATTGTCCTAGATGTCAGAAATACAATCTAAAAGTGATAATACCTGCTCCCTGGGGGCTTCTGTTCTCATGGAGGGAAGACAGATGACAAACTTGAAAACAACTATTTAAGAAAAGACAGTTGTCAATAGTGGTTTGTACTGCAAGAAAATAGAGGGGGAGAGAGTTGCTGCTTAAGGTCAGGTGATTGGGGGTGGAGGACTTCTCTAAGGAGGTAACATTGGAGCTGACCAGGAAGTGGGGCTAGTCATGGGAAGAGCACTCCCTCCAGAGGGAACAGCAAATGCAAGGCCAGGGGGCCTGGGGCCAAGCATGGGAGAGGGGAGTAGAGGAGATGGAAGGGGAGAGGGCATCGGGGCACATCGTAAAGGCTGTGTGGGCGGCAGTGAAGACTTTGAGTGATTTCTAATGGTGGGGGAAGCCAAGGAAGAGTTTTGAAGAGTTTTAACCCAGAGGACGTTTTCACTGAGTGGTTACAGTTGGCCAGGTGTGGTGCCTGTATACAGGCGTTAAGTGGTAGGAACCCCGAGCCCAGGCCTTTGTGATCCTTTTGTTCTACAACAGGGCTTCTCAGCCTCCACACTACTGACCTTGGGGCCTAATCATTCTTTGTTGTGGGGCCTGTCCCGTGCATTATACAATGTTTAGCAGCATCCCTGGTTTCTACCCACTAAATGCCCATAGTATTCCCCTGCCAAATTATGACAATTTGGCAAATGTCTCCAGACTTTGACAAATGTTTCCGGGGGGGGCAAAATTGTTCCCGGTTGAGTACCAAAGGCTTCTGCCAACTTGGCCATATATATATACCCACCTACAATTAAAATTACTTTTCACCTGTGGAAGTTGGGACCATTTGGCCTAAGAAAGGCTCTTCTTTGTCTTAGTGGTTCTTACGCTGTCAGAGGTGTCAGAATCTCCTGGGAAACTTGTTTAGAAATACTGATTCAAGGGCCCTACCCAGGTAGTTTGATTCAGAGAATCTGGGAGGGGGATTAGGAGTATATATTCTGAGTGATATTTTAATAAGCATCCCTAGTGATTCTGGTACTTTGAGCTAAAAGAGTATTGTGTTGGAGAGGACTGAGGTTTTTCTGGGTGATCCTGAAGGGCTGGAGATGTAGAGAGGCATGTTTCTGTTTACAGCAGAAGAAAAACTCATTTCCAGTCAGAGGTGTTGGTGGCATGGGTAGGGAGCCCCCTGTCACAGGAGAAGCCAGGACTGAGCCAACATGTCTCAAACTCCAAGAATTTGTCCTAACCTGTGCCATGCATCCTATTTTTTTACTTTGCCATTTACTTGAATTGGCTCACTGATTTTTTTTTTTTTTAATTTAAATCGACTTAGTTTAAAAGGGCATTCTGTGTGACTGCTGTAAAAAGAAGCTGAGTTTTGCTGTAAGAAGGGAAACAAACATTAAAACAAATGGAAGTAAAGCCAGCTAGTTCTAATGAAATATTATGGTCACCCTAAGTTTGGGTCCTGAACCCTGCTTTTCTTTTTAATTTTAATTTTTAATTTTTGCGGGTATATAGTGGGTTTATGTATTTATGGAGTACATGAGATATTTTGATACAGGCATACAATGTGTAATAATCACATCAGGATAAATGGGGTATCTGTCACCTCAAGGATTTATCCTTTGTGTTACAAACAATTTGATTATACTTTTGTTATTTTTAAATGTATCATTAAATTATTATTGATCATAGTCACCCTGTTGTGCTATCAAATACTAGGTCTTATTTATTCTTTGTGTGTGTGTGTGTTTTGTTGTTGTTGTGTTTTTTGTTGTTGTTTGTTTTGAGACGGAGTCTCGCTCTGTTGCCAGACTGAAATGCAGTGGCGTGATCTTGGCTCACTGCAACCCTTTGTGTTTTTTTAATATCCATTAGCCATCCCCACATTCCCCCCACCACTCCACTGCCCTTCCCAGCCTTTGGTTTCTTCATCATTCTAGTCTCTATCTCCATGAGTTTAATTGTTTTAATTTTTAGCTTACACAAGTAAGTGAGAACATGCGAAGTTTGTCTTTCTATGCCTGGCTTATTTCACTTAACATAATGACCTCTATGTTGTTGCAGATGACAGGATCTTATTCTCCTGCTTTTCTTTTGTTTCAAGGGGTGAGTGAGGGGTTGCAGGAATGTTAAGATACCTCTCCACTTGAGACTTTGTCCTGAGCTTGTCAGGGGAACTGAAAGAGAATTGAACCAAGCTGCATTTCTCCAGGCGAATCTGGCTCTGAGAGCCCCTGGGTGGAAGTTCCTTACATTCATATCTGCTAGTTGAACTTCATGGTAACCCCATGAAGTCTGGGGGAAGTGCCCGAAGAGGCCACAGGTGGTTCTGGGGCATCTCAGGGGGGCCTCCGTCCAGCACTCACATTCGAGGAGGGATCCGGGCAGGGCCATTGGAAGAAGGCAGGGTGTACGGTGGCCCTCAGCAGCCTGTGGGAATGTGTGTGAGTGTATGTGTGTTGACTGTATCTGTAGGAGTGTGCATGGGAGTGCATTTGTGAGGCATTGTAGCCTAGTGGCTAAGCATGTGGACCCAGACATACTCTGCCTGACTCCAGTCCCAGCTTTGTAATCTCTAGCAAGTGGTTTAATCTCCTTGGGCCCCAGTCTCCTCATCTGTGAAATGGGTGAGTAGATGTAGTACCTACCTTCCAGGATGTTTAGAACATCAAGTGAGATACATTCAAGTACCCTACGTGCAGTAAGCCCTCTAAATACTCACTGTTGGTGTGTGTGTATGTGTGTCTGTCTGTCTGTCTCTGCTTGTCTCTCTGTGTGATTTGTCCCGTCTACATATGTGAGGCCAGCCTAGACCTGGTCTCTCAGCATGCCTCCGTCTGTCTTCTCCCTACAGCCCTGTTGGCCCCCTAGGCCTGTCTTCCTGTTCACCGTGGGCAGCAGAGGGATGGCTGCTCAGCTGCTGACTGATGAGGCATTGGTGAGTCATGTTGCCCTGTCACTCTCCTTTCCAAAGGCTGGATTCCTGCCTTGGGTGAGCCTCTGCTGCTCGAACCCTCTCCAAGGCCCCCAGTCCCATCTTCTGGGGCTGTGTCTGTCCTGATGAGGAGGGCTGTGCTTACAGATGATGCTGACCCTGGCTGTGGGGTCAGTTGTGCGGGACAGGGAAGCTTTGGAATGGCCAAACTAGCTCTCTGGACTCAGGAGACACAGGTGGGCACCTGTGGGAAGTGGTGGTTTAGATATGTGACACTGAGTGAAAAAACTCATGCTGGATGTGTCACCTTTAAAATGGGCAGACACACTAAATGCTCCTTGTGGATGCCTACATGTGTGATGAAAGTACAAAAGCTTATGGGAATGAGGCCCACAAATTCACCCATGATTTTACCCCAAAAGATAATCACTCTGGAATGTTTGAGTCTGGCTAAGCAATTTTAATATTAAAGATTGCTTTTTCATCAGAGATCTCATCCTCAGCATTTCTCCACATCATTAAAAACTCCTTTGTAACATCCATCTTAATGACCACATAAAAGTGTTGTTCAGTGGCCATACCCTGGTTTACTTAATGGTTCCTCTGTTGTTGGACCTTTATTGGTTTCCAAGTATTCTTTTTTTGGTTATAAACAGTGTCGTGAGGGACACTGGGTGTAAATCTTTCCTTGTGTCTTATATGATTTCTTTAGGAGCAGTTCCTTGAAGAGGAAGATTGGGTTGGGTATTTTTGAGGTATTTTGATACTACTTTCCAAATCAGTTATGGCGGTAGGTATTCCCACCAGCGTGTCTGAGCAGGTCTCCGCTGGTTTATATGGTTGTTGTCAGGCATTTATTCTGCATGTTGGATATATTTAGACTGGTGTAATATTGCACCATGATAATCAATGATAAATGGATATGAAAGCTATAAACCATGAGCCTGATAGGGCACAAGTGGTGCCAAGTGATTTCTTTCTGAGCAGCATTGTTTGTATTATTAGTGAAGTTCAAGTCTTAGAAAATGTTTACTGGCCATTTCTGTGGGCAGGGAAATGATCCATCTTGTGCTTTAACAGTCTACAGGGATCTGAGTATGCTTTAAAGACTTTACAGAAGTAAATGTGTGTGTGTAAATATTTGTTGCAAATATTCCTCCCAGATTTGCTTTTTGTTTCTTTATTTTGCCTTATTTTTTCATAAAAATATGAAAAAAGCATTTCATATTTTAAAAATCAAATCTGTTGGTTTCTCCCACTGTGGTGTCTTTCTTCATCTTTAAGCTGTGAAAGGGTTTCTCCATCCACAGGTCACAGAGCAGCTATATTTTCTTCCTTTTTGCCATTTATCATTTGAATGTTAACAATGAACTTTTGAATCTACCTGTAATTTATTTTGCTATATAAATGTGTCAGTTGACTTATTTGGGAGCTTTGGTTTATTCTGTCTTCATTTATTTGATACCTTTGTTGAGGTACACATCACGTACCACAAAGTGTACAATTCATTGATTTTGGGTACATTCATAGAGTTGTGTTAACCATCACCACAGTCAATTTCAGAATATTCAGAATATTTTCGTCGTCCTGAAAAGGAGCTGAGTACCCATTGGCACTCATTTCCATTTCCCCCCATCAGTCTGCAGCCCCTGGCAACCGGTAATCAGCTTTCTGTCTCTGTGAATTTGACTATTCTGGACATTTCAAATAAATGGAATCATAAACTGTGTGGTCTTTTGTGACTAGCTTCTTTCACTTAGCATTATATTTACAAGGTTCATCTATGTGGTTCATTCCTTTTTTTGACTGAACAATATCCACTGCGTGGTTATACACATTTTATTTATCCTTTCATCAGTTGATGGACATTTGGGTTGTTTCCACTGTTTGGCTATTATGAATAATGCTGCTATGAACATTCATGTATAAGTCTTTGAACATATGTTCTCAGTTCTCTTGGGTGTGTACCTGGAAGTGGAATGTTGGTTCTCGTATCGTTAACTCTGTTGAACCATTAAAGGAACCACCAGACTGTTTTCCTAAGCGATTGCACCATGATGCCTTCATTTTTATCTCATCTGTGATTCTTGCCTTGAATTCTTCTTTTACTTACATTACTTAGAAAGATTTGTTGTTTGTTTTTATTTCAACAGGGTTGGGAGTTTTGGTTTAAGTTTGGTTTTTTAAAAATTACTGCTAGTGTAATTACATCCTGATTTTTTAAAAAATTGAGCCTGTCTGGTTTCAGCTCTTCTGAGTTTTCCCTGTGGTGAAACGGTTTGTGTCATTAGACAGGAAACAGAAAAAGATAGAGTACTAGAAAAAGTGGCCTTGGACACGTACATGCAGAGAACTCAGAGGCCCTTTGTAGCACTTCTGTCCCAACACAATGGGCTCCCAGACCTGGAAGGCTGTGTTCTGTGTCTCAGCACAACTCTGGTGCCAGTCTGGGCTTGGTGCCTGGAGACTGCTCAGTGAATAGTTACTGAGTGAATTAGGTGGGTATACTTAGGGAAGACTTCCAGAAGGAATTGTTATATTACAGTTTTGTTAAATAAATAAATACAGGGGTGAGAGGGAACTTTTGGAGGTAATGGATCCATTTATGGCCTTGATGGTGGTGATGGTTTCATGGGTGTGTATGAATCTGCTAACTCATCAAGTTATGTACATCATTAAATATGTACAGCTTTTTCTATATCAGTCACACCTCAATGAAGTAGTTTAAATTTTTAGAAAAGGAGGAGTTACTAGCTGGACTGGCTGAAAGATACATTGGGCCAAAAGGTCAAATAATATCATATAAGGATCTATAGTTGTACATAAGATATATATTAAATATCAAAATTAAATAATAATAGTAAGAGTCGACATTTACTGAGAGCTTCCTCCGTCACACGAGGCACTGTGCCTGGACCATATTTCTACACATTTAACCTCATGACCCTGTGGAGGGGGACGTTGTTATCAGGAAGCCTGCTTCTCATATGAGGCTCAAAAAGAGAAAGACAGTTGTCCAAGGAAACATAGCTTGTGAAGGGCAGAGCCAGGATTCTGTCGCAGAGTGTGGTTCCTGAGCCCACACTCTGAACCACCAGCCCAACCACTTTCTATCAAAGGTGACCCCTGAGGTAGAGGAGGCTATCCTGAGCCCAAGCCCCAGAAAGGTACCCTAGGACCATGGAGGGACTAGCCAGCGGGGGTGAGGCCTCCCCTTGGGATTTAGTTGGTGGTGGGGAGACTCAGTATGCTGGAGAGAGCCAGCAAGCTCTGGGTGTCAATAACAATAGCTGGCAGTTATTGAGTGCCTGCTGTGTGCTATGCACTACCATTCTGAGTGTCTTACATAAATAAGTGGGCAGGTGGGGCCCATGGCAAATTGGAGCTCTCTTGCCCCATCAAAGGGCCAGCCACCACTCAGCTCCAGCCTACAGTGGCCAGATATTCTGGTTAAAGAGAAACTAAAAATTCATTTTCTTGGTAAATTGTGGATGTTTTTTTCATGTAACAAAAACAATTTTGAAACCCCCATGGGGCAAAATAGCAATGTGTGCAGCTAGCTTCAGGCCCAGATACATCTCATATGCGGTGCATGCTCAGAGCTCCCGTTCTTTCCTTGTGCCATGGGGGTTGTACCACTGACTCAGTTCAGAACAGCAGGTCCCTCTGTAGGACACAGTAGGTCTCTCATTACTCACATACCATGCTATGAGGAAGCCCAAGCAGCCGTAAGGAAGCCCAAGCAGCCATAAGGAAAAGTGATGTAGAGAAAAAGAGATGCCCACCAAGGCCTCAGCTATGCCATCCCTACCAGCTCAAGAGACAGACATGTGTGCAAAGAGGCCAGCAGACTACTCTAGCCCAGCTGCCATCCAGCCGCCTCCACACAAGAGATGCCAGGCACGAACTGCCCAGCTGAACCCATCAACCCCAAAATAGTAATAAATTGTTGTTTTTGAGCCATGAAGTTCTGAGATGGCTGCTACCCAGCAAAATATAACTGGATAGGAAATTTAATCTGTGACCGTGGCTCAAGATCTTCATGTGGTAGAGTCATGCATGGATGATGTGATCAGCCAGCAATAATGTGAGACGTGCAGGCCTTCGTCACTTGAGGGAGGAGGTTGACTGTCAAGCACCATCTCTGGAAGTAGCTTCAGGATCGCTTGTGATCTATCTGGAAGAGAAGCGCCAGCTGGGACACTCTGCTATATTTATCCAACTGTCTTCTTTATTGGAAAAAGACATGCCATCCATCTCAGGGTCTGATCCAAACTAAACTGCTCCTTGGCCCTGATGCCGGCTAGATCGGTGTTATATGTGGATGAGGCCATGTAGTGTTGGGGCTGAGAGTTGAACTGACTGGGTTTAAAATGCTGCCACTCCTATCTGTGTGACCTCTTGTGCCTCAGTCTCCCCCTTTGTAAAAGAGATGAGCTCATAAAAGTGCCTACATAGTAGGGTTGTTTTAAAAATTAAGTGAGATGATGTGTGCAATGGGCTTAGAACAATACCTGGCATGTAATATGTACTTAATGAACATTAGTTATTTTTATCATTATTTACTAATGAATTAGTATGGAAGAAACCTGGCGCCAATACCATGTCTGTCTTATTCACAGTTGTATGCCCAGTGCCTGGTGCATAACAGGCACTTAATAAATATTGGTCGAATGAATACGTGAGTGGGTGAAGTGTCACTCTGTGTGTTTTCAGAAACCATCAATGAACATATTTAGAATATGTCAGAATATGTATTAGATACCATTGATCTAGAATTCCTGTTTAGGGGATTCAACCATACTTTTCTGGTAGCCCAGAAAATTATAAATTAAAACACCAGTTAAATTTCCTATCCAGTTATATTTTGCTGGGTAGTAACCATCTTGGAACTTAATGGCTCAAAAACAACAATTTATTACTATTTCGGGGTTGATGGGCTCAGCTGGGCAGTTCGTGCCTGGCATCTCTTGTTGGTGGCAGTTGGATGGCAGCTAGGTGAG